TATGAATTCAATTACCTATGTTTCTATTTTGTATTCAATAACTACAGTTGTGCATTAGACAATATGTCTGCGGTGCGAAAAAATCTGGTGAAAAAGTATCTGTTGTTTGCATGGTTAGTTTAAGAATGTCTCAAATATGGGATGCCTCACATGAACAGTGCAAAAGGGAAAAGTCAAGGAAATTTTGATCTTCCTCAAAAATAGCCAGGGATTTAAACAATTTTTAGAAATATCAGGGACAGGTCTGGACATTTTAGATCAATGTATAAGCTTACTGAAAAAATATTTTTTATACTTAAGTTTTATCAATCAATTTTATCAATTAATCAAATAATCAGTCAATCATTTAACTTTTTGACAGTAATGCCAATGTATTCTTCTAGTATATTTTGATTTATAGCAAATTGCTTATTTTACTATATTTAACTTCTAGTTCTTAAGCCCTGTATACACTATAAATAAATTTTCAATCGTTTCAATTGTTTCAACCATTTCAATCAGTTCAATCGTTTCAATGCTTGCATCATTTCCTACTTTTCAATGCTTGCGTCATTTGGAGCATTTCAATCGATTCTCCTTTGAAATGAATTTCAAGTTTCGCTGTTTGCGCCTGTTTTTCACATTCTCTTTCATTCCAACCATTTCAAGCATTTCGGCCCTTTCACCCCCCGTTTCAAGCATTTCGAATGCCAGTGTATACACCCCTTTAAACTGAAAATTGTGCGAAATTTGTGAAAGCTGTGACTTGAAAAAGAATTTTGGAATGTGTGATTAGACAGGCAATGAACATATACACATTACAAGATTCATGGCAGACTTTGTAATAGGAGTCACCACATCCTTCATGAAAAATAAAAGAACCATTTTCATTTCTTTTTCATTGCTCAGGAATTCCTCTATATTTTCTCTTTTCACATATATTTTCAGAAAGTGTTTGTTTTTGCATGGGTGATTTGATCATCACTAAAAGAGAACTGAATCCATTGGGAGTGTGTTTGCATAGCAGGATGGGGTAATTGAAGATATATGTTAGGCAAATTGGAATTCACAGCAGCTATGTAAAACAGATATCTGAAATCCTTGCAGATATTAAAACATTGCTCGCTCAAAGTTATAACAAAGTTTCCAACTTTCTTGAAGAATACTCCTCAATGGCAATCTACCTCTCATACAATGGAGAATTCTCCCGTAATCCTGAATGGAAAAATCCGGATTTGTTTTCAATGAAACTGCAAACCGTTTTGAAATTAGCTATTTGATCAGTGCGAGATATCAGCGGTTTATGCTCAGTAGGGGCAGATTGGATCAACTACAACAAAATCTCACAAAAATCTCAACAATAAATCTTATATAATCTTTAATGACATCTACAAAATTTAATCTTTTTTTGAATGTTATTACTGTTTATTGGTCAGGACCATAAATATGTCATTTTATTGTTTTTTTGTAAAGAAGGAGGTAAGATTAACGAAATGGGAAATAGTTATAATGACTGGGTTTCAGAGCAAAATCTGTATCATGTATATTTGATCCGGCACACAGTATGTGTCCAGTGAAACGTCCCTTTTCTTCAAAACAATCTGAGATGGGAATAAGTTAATATAGCACTTTTCTACCAAACATCTCTTCCATACAATATCAGACTTGTGTCAATATCCTCCCATTTTTCCTGGAAATTTCAAAAAGATCACAAAATTTCATGCATATTTACATAATTTGGTAAATGATTCTCGTTCCTATTTGTGACATTTCTTGCTGATTCCTCTCTATCTAAGAAGATTTCTTGAATAAATAAATGACCATTGATGATTGCTTTATCCAGGGGTTCTACCAGATGCCTGATAAGTGCAGTGGGTTTACACAACATGAAAATCTGGTTGAGATGTTGCACAGCGTCTAACATCATGAACAACTCCACTGTCTCAGTCTGAAGACTATCAATCTCAAAAACATTAAATATCATGAACAATGTCACAGTCTCAATCATGTCAATCTCAAAAAAATCAAATATCATGAACAATCTCACAGTCTCAATCCTGTCAATCTCAAAAATATCAAATATCATGAACAATGTCACAGTCTCAATATATAACTTTTCAATCTCAAAAACATCAAATATCATGAACAATGTCACAGTCTCAATCATGTCAATCTCAAAAAAATCAAATATCATGAACAATCTCACAGTCTCAATCCTGTCAATCTCAAAAATATCAAATATCATGAACAATGTCACAGTCTCAATATATAACTTTTCAATCTCAAAAACATCAAATATCATGAACAATGTCACAGTCTCAGTCCTGTCAATCTCAAAAATATCAAATATCATGAACAATGTCACAGTCTCAATATATAACTTTTCAATCTCAAAAACATCAAATATCATGAACAATGTCACAGTCTCAATCCTGTCAATCTCAAAAATATCAAATATCATGAACAATGTCCCAGTCTCAATATATAACTTGTCAATCTCAAAAACATCAAATATCATGAACAATGTCACAGTCTCAATATATAACTTGTCAATCTCAAAAACATCAAATATCATGAACAATGTCACAGTCTCAATCCTGTCAATCTCAAAAACATCAAATATCATGAACAGTGTCACAGTCTCAATATATAACTTGTCAATCTCAAAAATATCAAATATCATGAACAATGTCACAGCATCCTGTCAATCTCAAAAATATCAAATATCATGAAAAATGTCATAATCTCAATCATGTCAATCTCAAAAACATCAAATATCATGAACAATGTCACAATCTCAATATATAACTTGTCAATCTGAAAAACATCAAATGTCATGAACAATGTCACACTGTCACAGTCTCAATATTTAACCTGTCAATCATCAAATATCATGAACATTGTCACAGTCTCAATTTATAATCTGTCAATCTTAAAAATGTCAAATATGAACAATGTCACAGTCTCAGTATATAACATGTCAAGATCAAAAACGTCAAAACATTATGAACAATGTCATAGTCTCAATATGTCAATATCAAAAATGTCAAACATTATGAACAATGTCACAGTCTCAATATCAATATCAAAAAATGAAAAAGAGTAGAATAGGTGAGGAAGTAAACAGCCATATAGTCAACACACATAGAACATAGAAATGCTTGTTAAACTGATACTTTATGAAATAGGCAGAACAATTGAAAATAACATGAACAGAGGGAAATGTAGAATTTGGGTTGTTTATATTAATTTCAAAGAATCTGCTGACAGCATTGAGAAGTACAGTAAGGAGATCTTTCAGTGAATCAGATTTTAATTTTATACCAATTTTAGATTTAATTAAAGCACATTTTGTTGTTCTGTTTTCTTAACAACTTCGACTATGAACTGGCAATTAAAGTAAAACATAGTTATTTTAAGGGCAAGTCTATTGAAAAGATCCCAGCTGAAATATGGCCAGCTTTCTTGCAGTTTAATAGTTTTCTGATGATTTCGGAATTTAATTTGAAATATCAATAAACCATTCATTTATTTCAAAGTTTAATTCCATGTATAGTTGTTCATTATACATGGAAAATTATGAGAAAATGTGTGATTTACATAGATCTGATCACAAGGGCAATAGCAAGGTATGGATTTTGAACCTTATTGATCCAAATGTTATTGTTTTCTTAACAAATATTGCCCATGTTATCATAGGCTTAATTTAATGTTATTCTTCTACATCCTTTGCCAGCATATTGAGCTGCTGCTGAAAATCCTTCACATTTTTTGTAGTCTTAAATGTTAAATCTAAAATATCCATCCATCTTGAAAAGTTGACTAATTTAATTTGATTTAATTTCGTAAGATGACAATAAGCATGGCACTTGTCTATGAATGACACAAATTGTACTCTGACACTTATTTTTATTCTGACTTAAATGCGTCAGATCAATATTTGGGAACTGAACAATTTCAAATTTAACCATTTGAGTTCTAATGCTTGTTTGTATATTTGCAGGCACATTTTTTGTATGAGGAATCATTGAATGAATGATTCTGTCCTTGTTTGGAAATAGTAAAATGTTTAAGAACAGTAACGTCAAGAGTAACTGTTTTTCTGAAAGAAGATTAACCAAAACCAAAACAGAAACTGTTTAATTCAGTGGGTGACTGAATCGTCATAGGTTGATTCAAATTGGTGCTGTACCCAACATTCATGAAAATAGATATCATTCAGGAAAAAGTACGATAAGCCTATTTTGTTTGTTACTGACTTACTTATATGTTGAACATAAAATAAAATATGTGTGTCAACATCGCGTCCCAGGTACACAGCCTATATTTATCTAACTGGCCTGTCCCAATAATTTCTTTTTTACATTCATAACTTAGAACTCTGTTTATTTTGAATTAATGATCTGATTGGTGCCTGACAAGGGGAGATGTTCTGTTAGAAAACTACAAAGAATGTTTTGTACATAAGACTGTCATGCGATTTCTACATGTTTGCGAAAATTAAATTATCTGAATCTTTTGCATCTATGTTGATAGTATCTATAATGCAAATGTTTTGGCACCCTTGTAACTGTTTTTATACATTTAGTGGGTTGATAAAAATGTATACATGCTAATTACAGTTACAAATTCAGTCCCAAAAGTGTTTCTATTGTATGGTTATCTCATATCGATTGAACCAGGATAGCACGATTCATACATGTATTGTATACAGCTTCCAAAGCATTGTCTTAGTAGCTCAGTTTGTAGAGCCTCAAACTTGATATTTAGGGGTTCTGGACATGAATCCTACATGGGCCATCAAACTAATGGCACACTTTGATATCAATTTTATCTCACTGGCCAGACTATATCTGTATATATTAGATGGTTTCTTTATCACATTATGATTATTGATAATACAAAAAATGACAAGTGATAACTGGATTACATTTATATTTAGTTTTATAATCTGAATCTATTGTGCCATATTCAGGATTCAGTGCGCATGATCTTATATGCTATTCTTGCTATTCTTTCAGGTGCTGCTGTTCAGTGCTGTGACTGCCATCTTTATGTACCTGTCCAGGTAGGTGGACTTTTTGTATAGATTCATAACAGTGCAAAACTGGGTACATTTTAACTGGTATCTTGCAGGATCTGTTTTAAATACATGTGACGTGATCTCAGCCTCCATGGTTCTTACTCCCTATTTAAACATACAATTCAGAATTCATTAGCCTGAATTGGAATTGAGCCCAGGAACACTTGTACTGGAGTTTTGTGCTTCCCCACTTGGGCTAATTTGGAATTGTGTTTCCTAAAGAACTGTGTTTATTAAAGAATTGTGTTTCTTAACGAAATGTGTTTCTTAAAGAATTGTGTTTACCCAGTCTTCACACGCTTGTGCTTATAGTGAGTCCAGGTCACATGGAAATTATATGCATAGAAAACACACCTTTGTTGTCATGGAAATTGCCTCCTATTCACATAATGCAACTCCTCTTGAATAAAATTCCTTGTTTGAAATGTTATGACCCTAATATAGATTTAGAAAGAGGGGAATCAGCATGAAATAAAATGAATTCCCAGTAAGTTTCACTGTACATGATAAAGAGGTGTCAGACAAGGAGGTGACTATTAATGCTTGAGAGAGAAATGGAGTGAAATGAGACTTGGATTGAGAGAAACTTTAATAACAGGTATCGCTCTCTAAAATCACTAGATTGTTAAGCTGTCAATCAAATGTGAAGAGACTGGAAACTTTTTTCAATACACTTTTAAATAATGCAAATGAATTAAAAATCCTATTGTGAGATCCCGTTCTAAAAATTCACAGTGTTTTTGGACATTTCAAGTATTTCCTCAACAAATTGATGATTTAATGTATTCCTTGTATTTTCAAAGTCTTTGGGTGATGATTACATGAGGGCCATGTATATTCCATGTTTATTTCTCTCATTTGAGCATGATATGGTGAGAAATGCCACAAGCACCTGGCTACAGTTAGGCATATTGTATTGTATTTGGAGTAAACAGTAGTTGGTGATATGATATGACAGTCTGCTCAAATAGAAGATGTGTCAGAAAGGGGAAAACCAATGTTTATAAAGGTTGATATAATCTCAAAAAACAAAAGCCCGTGAAATATGGTAACCTCAGGGGATTGGGCCAATTGAATTTTGGGATGTGTCATATTATCTTAAATCCCAGCTTGGAAGTGTGGTATACTGTGACATATTCATGTTATCATATCATCTATGAATTGAGGTTGCAGATACGTTAAACTTTCAAAATTGGATGCTACACATTTGTGTTTTGTTTTTCATGGTTGGAATTTAATTTAAATTTTCTATTGTGTGTTTAATGATTTTTTATGCGAGACATGGAGTGCTTGATTTCCCTATCTGCTTGCTTCATCCCATTTCCCATGTCTCTTACCATAGGCCTTACCATTCCCTCTGTTTCTGTCCTTGCCTCTCCTTCCACCCCAAGTGCTTCTCACCCAATTGCTTTAATTCCCAACCTGTCATGGCCTCACCATTCCCTTTGTTTCAATCATTGCCTCTTCTGGCCCAAGTGGTTTTCACCCATTTGCTTCACTTCCCACCCTGCCATGGCCTATTTTGTATATTTTGACATATTTTGTACCCCACCACCCATTTTCTTCTCTTTAATTCCTACCCTGTCATGGCCTCACCATTCCCTTTGTTTCAATCATTGCCTCTCCTTCTGGCCCAAGTGCTTCTCACTCATTTGCTTTACTTCCCACCCTGTCATGGCCCACCATTCCCTTTGTTTCAATCATTGCCTCTCCTTCTGGCCCAAGTGCTTCTCACTCATTTGCTTTACTTCCCACCCTGTCATGGCCCACCATTCCCTTTATATATGTTCCTACTGCATACATATTTTTTACCCCACCACCCCTTTTCTTCTCTCACCTTTACTCTACGCTCCCAGTGTATAATTTCCACACAGACAGTGGACTCCATGTATGCAAACAACATCTTTTCATAGCCCTGACATATAATCTTTCAGCATTAATATGGTGAAACAAGAAATAGAATCAAATAGGGAGAAATTTGCAAGGAATATAATAAGTAGGTATATAATATCACATTCTAGTTGATCCACAGAACCAGTGTATTGGACATGTCATTCAAAATAAAGAGAAAAGTGGTAGAATAAGAGTGAACAAAAAGATATTTTACAGCCAGGAAGCCTGCCAAAGAGATTCAAGTCTCCTCAGCTGTTGATAATTGGAAATTGGTACCAATTAAAACTAACAAAAAATCTTCAAACCGCATGGTTTCAGATGCTCCATCTCAACATATTTCTTTATGGAATATAGTTCAGGTGGAAATGAGATTAGAATATCTTGATGCTACCTGATTAAAATGCATACCCTTGGTTAAACCACCCTTAGGCCATGTCTATTTTCACATGTACTTTCTCCTTAAAATGGACTGCCTCATTTTCTGTATATATAATTCGGAATGTCAGGCCTGTAGCTAGGTGAGGGCGGGGTGGGAATAGTGTTTGAGCCACCCCCTGGCCAAATATTCTACCAAAAATTCTTTTTATACCATTTTTAGCACTTATCTAGATTTAAAACTTAAAACGCAAAAGCTGGCTACTGGCCTGAATGTTGACTACTGTATATACCTGTTTACCTTATTACTTGCAAGATCTTCATGTTCTATTAAAACCTGACCATCTTGACATTTAACATGGAGACATATGTGTCATGTCTAAAGGAAATATCATTATGATGAAGAAAAACAACCTAGGTGGAGGTTACTATTAATGAAGGTGTATCCCTAAGTTTTTCTGAATATATTCCATTTAACTCGTATGCAAAAAATCACTGAGAATACTTTGAAAGGGAGTTTTAATAATTAATTTGACCCATTCAATTTCAAGGTTGTGTATCTCTTATATTCTACAGGACATGAAAGAAGTCTTGATATTTCTTTGAGGTATTAAGTGACTGACAGCTTCTCATATATCAATCATCTTCCTTTAGAAATACATTTTTGTCGTTCAATGAATTCAAGTGAATTTTAGTATAGACTTGTATTAATTTAAGGAGACTATAAACTATGTCATTTCTCCTTCACTGTATCTCAACATGTTGGAGTGTAAAGATCACACCAGGGAATCCAAATGACAGCTTGCTAAGTGTAAAGAAGTCCATGGGTCTGAATGACATTATGCTTGAGTGTAAAGATTGTTTCAGGAGTCTGAATTACAGCATACTTGAGTATAAAGATCACTTCTGGGAATCTGAATTACAGCATACTTGAGTATAAAGATTGTTTCAGGGGTCTCAATTACAGCATGCTTGAGTATAAAGATTGTTTCAGGAGTCTGAATTACAGCATGATTGAGTATAATGATCATTTCAGGGGGGTCAACCCAGTTTTCCGAAATCCAGTTGTCCGAAACCCAGTTCTCCGAAATCCAGCTCCGTCTACAACTTTTAAAGATCAATTTCTTTGATTTGTAGTTTTGCAATAGTTAAATGAAAAATATCAAATGAATAGTTCAATAGAACTTTGAATATAAAGGCATCTAGAAACCTGTTACCTTTTATTTGCTTTGTTATGTAAATACCTGTATAGCTACTGCTTCAAGGTCATTGAATTAAAATAACCTTGTAATTATTGTCAAATATAATGAAGGCCAATCCTTTTGTTACAAATAATAATCAAAGTACAATGAGGCAAAAAATAAAAATATTAGAACTTTGGTATGATTATTATAAAAGTTTTTTTTTATAATTTGTTCAATGGGTCTGTGGTACAACATTATGTTATCTGTTTATTGTATATTGTTATTATCAGTTAGCAACAAAGCATCGTGGCTAATCATGAGGCCATCCTGACAAATCCATTTCTGAGAAATACTTCCTATTAAAGATTTTTTAGAAAGGCAATATTTAGCGTGAAGTAATGAAATAGTGAGCAAAGCTAATTCCCGCCCTAGGGTACCGACAGATCCCCATGGATTCTATAATAGAAAACTGATATTTTATAACACAATCTAGGCCCTTCTAAGAATTAATCTTCTTGAACATATTTTTGAAATATTCCATAACCTCGCTTGCTTGCTATAGATTTTTGAAAATATATTAATGAAATATTTGATTCCCTTCCTCTGTTGTTATATTATATGTGAAGTTTAAGTCACAGGTATTCTAATAGTTCACCACTAATTGAATATATTCTTTCTATGTAATCTTTGAAAGGGGTAGCAATATCTTAAGAATGGTGAAGCCCCTTTCATGTCATCTCTAAGACAGTATATAGCAGCTTCACACTTTGTCTCTGGCAGTATATGTTCAACAGAAAAAAGGTTTCATCTGAAAAAATCATTAAAATGTTCCAATATGATATCTCACTTCTGGTGTAAAAAACGCAGAGGTATATTTAGAACACGATTTTTAGATGTATTTACAGATCATTTGTTTAAAATTGTGGTTTAGGGCTGTTTTTCTACAGTGCTACAGTACTGCAAGTGCTATAATTAGTTATCTAGCGCCGCACCTTATAATAATAATGCCCGGACACATTGCCGCAGGTTTTTTATTCTATTTTTTAATCTAGTCAGTTTAATAATGGTGTTTGAATTGATTATTTTACAGCATGGTTCTTTACCCGAAGATGTAATTTGTTTTATGAATGCTACATTCATTTACTTCTATTAGTATTATAAGTAATTCAATTTCTAGATGTTTCTCACAGATAATTATACATTGTGTTTTACCTACAAGATAATTTTCAGATCTGCATTTTGAGAAAGAAATTTCAGCCTATACAGATTATATACTACATTGTCTTTATGTTAAAGCCCTTTCATGTTAGCATTTGAGGAATTAGTCTACAGCAAAACACGTAATTACCTTTTAAGTATAAAATACGTTTTGTGTTCACAATGACACATTTGTAAGAGAAACAAAATGACACATAACATAAGAGATACATTTGAAACACATTACAATTAATTGATAGCTCACAAGCTTATCTAATAATCTGAGATAAAAGAATGCTCAAGATGATGAAAGATGTTAGCAAATGCATGTTTCAT